ACAATTACTTGATTTTTACAAGAATTTCCAAATCAATATGTTTTTAACGGAAAAAAATTCCAAAAAAAAAACAATGTTATTTTCTATGTCGCCGCGATGACGTAAACAAAATAAGATTTTAACCAAAATTTCGAACCTGTTAGAAAATATTAAAAAAATTCAAAAAATAATTAAAAAATACTTTGGTCTTTCATCTTAATAATAACATAAGCATTTTGACGATAAAACTTTTTCGTTAAGTTTGTGGCATTTTTCATTACGCTATGCTGTTTTCCCGAGGAGGCTAGTTTAAACAGTTTTTGCGTTGTCACTCTCTCCTACGTGCACCTTTAACGATGCCTTGCATGATGGTCTTGCACAGGCTGTCTCGTGACTTATAATCAGTTGAATTACAATCAGCTTTAATGTGCTGTGATACAATCTATCTAGCCATGCCCATATAGTCCTTTTTTTAGGTTTCTGGATGTTTCACCGATGTAAATTGTGTACAATATATTCTGTATATCCTTGCCTCTGCCCTGTTTTTGTTGCTGTCTTGTTTGGTGCTAATAGGATTAGATAGATTTATCTATCGTCCGGTACACATTTCTCACCAGTCTTAAACACGAGTAGAGGTTTATCTCTAGTTTCTTGTTTAGAATTGTTTCCAGTATCTTTTAAATTGTATTTCAATTCTAAGGTCGCGATCTAAACTCTGAAATTTACACTATTATTGGGTTTTCATTTGCTTCTAAATTCTACTTCAACACTATACTTCTAACGTCTCTGCATAAACTCTGAAATTTATAATATTATTGGGTTTCCGGTTCCTTCTAAATTCTACTTCAATTCTATACTTCTAACGTCTCCTCGTAAACTCTGAAATTTATAATATTATTGGGTTTCAGGTTCCTTCTAAATTCTACTTCAACTCTATACTTCTAACGTCTCCTCCTAAACTCTGAAATTTATAATATTATTGGTTTTCAGGTTCCTTCTAAATTCTACTTCAATTCTGTATTTCTAACGTCTCCTCGTAAACTCTGAAATTTATAATATTATTGGGTTTCAGGTTCTTTCTAATTTCTACTTCAACTCTATATTTCTAACGTCGCATCGTAAACTCTGAAATTTATAATATTATTGGGTTTCCGGTGCCTTCTAAATTCTACTTTAATTCTATAATTCCAATGTCTCCACCTAAACTATCTAATTTATACTATGATGGTGTATCTTGTTCCTTTTAAAAATCTTTTCCAACTCTTTCATAGCCCTTTGCGTATCAGTGGCGTTATCGCCTTGTTTCGGTTTAATTGATTGAAACAACTACCTAAAGTTTTTAGAGTAGGTTTTCATGAATTATATGTGTGTGTGTGTGTGTTCGTAATTATGCGAGCTTTTTTATCTACTTGTTTAATATCTTTATATTTTATTGCTAACCCAGTAAAAAAAAAAAATAAAATTACGCAGACGCAAATATCTAAACAATTCATGGCCGAACTTTATGACCAATGATGAGCAGTTGCTTCTGACGCATGCGCTATTAAATATGACTTTGTTTCAAGTCGTGACGTGCAGGACGTCTCGGTGAAAAGTGGTCATTTAAAGACGGCCTGTAATCATGGATAGTTTCTACTAATATAAATCCCCTGGCACACTAAATAAGACCACATTACACCGAGGAAGTAAATCACTTTGACCAAAATATCACTGATTCTTTGTGAGTATCCTTCGAGAAAATGTCCTGTAAATTTGAGCCCAGAGGTGGAGATAGTGTTGAGTAGGGAGGAAAAGACCGTCGCGGACAGAGTGACTTGAAAACTGGACAAGAATATTCTATATTGATGACTTTGTCACTGGTTTTGGCTATCGGACACTTAATGGAAACAAAGTAGGTGGTCGTTTGTCTGGTAGATAGAATGACCAAATTCCAGAGAAATGGTATGGGAATTTGAAGAGTGAAGGTTACTGACTCTAAAGTGTAGTTTATTGTTTTCATCTGTCAATTGATATGTTGGTTTTAGCTAAATGGTGAACTCAAGTCTTTTAGATGTGTTAGTCCAATTATTTGTATCGCCGTCCCCGGACATTTGATGGTAACTACTTTTGAAAGCAGTGACGTCAGAGTATTGTAAAGGACTATGATTGCCAAACGTCTTAAAATGCTATGGCACCTAGAAGAAGAAGAAGAAGAAGAAGAAGAAGAAGAAGAAGAAGAAGAAGAAGAAGAAGAAGAAGTCGTCAATAAAAGTTTGGATAATAAATGATATGTAAGCTTGCTTGAGAGTGCAAGTCTCATTTGTGATAATTTGAATTATTTTATTGTTCAGATCAGATTTCTTGACTTGGGTATTACAAAGGTGAATTTACTGCGAACACTGAGAGATAAATAAGAAAGGCACTACTTAAATAGACTGGTCCACTAGTAGGAATTCGCGACAAAAAAAAACGGGGAAGAATTTTTGTAGATTATCAAGTATTAGACCGACTTCACACCACGACATGTCAGAATCGAAATAAAAATTGATTGAGAACACACACACACACACACACACACACACGCATACTCACACGTACACACACACGCACGCATATATATTATTCAGTGAAATACACAAGCAAACATACGCACACACGCATATATATATATATATACAAATAAAGAGACATATTTGTTTTATGTCCTCTCTCTCTCTCTCTCTCTATATATATATATATATATATATATATATGTTTATAAATTCTTTTTATAGATACACATATTTCAGTAAATGCTCTGTTTATAATAAACAGTATTAAACAACATTTACCGGCCTGAATGACAGAGAAATATTCGTCTCCGACAGATTTGAACCTGTATCCTATACGGAACCCCCATTTAGCTTGACATGCCTTCAATATATATATATATATATATATATATATATATATATATATATTAGACAAGGTGGTATCTGTTGGATTGAAATAAGTTCACAGAATTGGAATGTGCTCATATATATATATATATATATATATATATATATATATATATATATATATATATACACACAAATAGAGAGGAATAACAAGCAGATTAAGATCTTCAAAAGTAAATCATCAAAAGTTACCCAACATCGCTTGATAATGGAAGAAATTTAAAATTCCGAAACAGAATTACCGTGTCGCGATCTAAAATATTTTTAAGCAAAATATTAACATATATATATATATATATATATATATATATATATATATATATATATATGTGTGTGTGTGTGTGTGTGTGTGTGTGTGTGTTTGCGTGTGTGTGTGCACGCGCGCGTGTGTGTTTCATTGAAATATTTTGTCTACTTATTTCTATACTGATCCTCTCCAGTTCTTTAATCAATTTCTTGATGTTAAGATGAAATTCATCAAGGAAGGCGCCGTATTAATTATTTTAGCCCAAGTATTTTCGACCGTTTTTAAGATACTCATCAAAGGTAAATTACAAAGACAAACATATTGTAACTGCAATATAATCTGCATTCTGTTGTGATAGGAATTTTTCAAAACACGCACGAGCGCGCTCTGTTAAATTTGTTTTAGAATTGCAAATTTATCCGTAGTAGTCGTGGTAATTTTACAAAACAAGAGTTTCAATATAAGGGAGCTGACCAGAAATTCGTAATAATATAAAATGCCATCAAATGTTAGATGCACTTTAATATGTTTTTGCTATATTCATAATAAATTTTGTTGAGTGTTGGTTGGTTGATTTTGATATAGAGGACATCAAGAATTTGAAGTTTTTGTTTATTATTTTTCGCGCTGTATTATATTGTGTTGTTAATAAACATTTTCCTGTATTGTGAAGGTGGACAAGAAAGTGTCTTTAAATGTTGTGCAATAGAACTTGTAAACGACAAATGAAATGTAAGACGTCTTGATAATGTTGTGGTTGTCAAGCCAACATATGTGCTTATATTTTGTTTGGTTTGTTTTGTTTTACGGCATATCAACCTCAATGGGTGATGTAATGCCGACACCATTTTTATTGCTGGTAATATTTTTTTCCAAAAACGTATTGTTGGTAATATTTTTCTTTCCTCCATATGTATTGCTGGTAATATTTTTTCTTGAAAAATATATTGCTAGCAATAATTTATTTCTTAAAAAATGTATTGCTGGTAATAATCTTCTTCAAAAAATGTATTGCTGGTATTAAAACCTATTTTTACACTTTCATAGTGTTTGGGGTTAAGTATTTGCACATATTTGGGACCAGAAAAGATGCTACTACCTCGGGTCAGAGTGGACATTGGAACACCAGGGATTAAGAGGTTGTTCCACCCTCCTCAAACGTCCTGATTAGAGACCTGTTGTACTTAATTTATCGTCTTACACAGGGCGCTTACTTTTTTGTTGTAAATAAAAGATATATATATATATATATATATATATATATATATATATATATAATTGCATTTGGGTAGGCTAGGCTGTAACATTTACTAGTAATTTTACTAAATTTTTTGATTTTCCCTGCTGAAATTGGGTGCGTCTTATAAACCAGAGCGTCTTATATGCCGTCAAATAGGGTAGATTTGAAAAAGGGATGCAACCATCAAATTTAGTGGATACTTCGAAGGGTGGTCTTAAATTTTTAGCCTACACGGTGTATGTAATTATTACTTATTAGACTTTTCGGGTACCCCTGTATTGAGGGTACTGATCATATGGACATTTATAAACCAAGCCCACCAACCTTTAACGACTCGATAACAATAAAGCTTTACAATTAAAATTCACGTTATATTTATTTGTGATTCTTCCTCGTATATGTGTTCTACTTGTGTGGCGAATGCGTTGGCGCAGAAACGTATGGAAAAAAAGAAAAGAAAGTGATTACCGAATATTCTTTACTTGACTAAACCAACAGAAAACAGAGCAATTAATCGAAAAAAATTTGGGGGTGGCACATTGAAAAGGATGAAGATGAAAAAGATGGAAGATAAAGGAAAATGGAGAGGCCAAAAAGAAAAAAAAAGACAAAAAACGTAGAAAATTAGAAAGATGAAGAAAAGAAAGTAAAAGAAAAATCCAAAAAAGAAAAGAAGGGTAAATCAAGAAAGAATACAGAAAATGAAAGGAGGTGAACGGGTGCATTATCAACGACCTGATTTCAAATGTCAGGTGGTGTAAACTTGAATGTGCGGGTGGTGTTATGAATAAAGGCTCGGAATTGTTAATCGGTTAGCTGAGATCCAATTCCATTTGGGTTCGTTATATTCACTTACGCGCAAATTACCCTTAGAAAATATAAGAATCCATCTTTTCTCTCCTCAAGCTATGGGTTAATTAGTAAATCTTGTATCACTTAATCAATATTCCTTAAAAAATTTATTACAATCTCAAAATATTTCTTGCTTTAAATAACGTGAAAAGTTAGGGTTAGGTTTAGGGTCACAGTCAAATTTAGAGTTAGGGTTAGTGTCAGGGTTAGGGTAAGGTTAGAGTTAGGTTTAGGGTCACAGTCAAATTTAGAGTTAGGGTTAGTGTCAGGGTTAGGGTAAGGTTAGAGTTAGGGTTAGGGTCAGTGACAGGGTCAGTATTAGATTTTAGGTTAGGATTAGGGTTAGGGTCAGGGTTAGAGTTAGATTTAAGGTTAAGGTTAGGGTTAGGGTTAGAGTGTGGGCTGGGGTTAAGGTTAGAAATAGAGTTAAGATTAGGGTCAGTGTTAAGGGTAGGGCTAAGTTTAGAGTTAGAGTTTAGATTGTTGAAAGGAAAAAGATTATATGTGTGTTTGCAAACAATGTGCGCTGGCTTGAAGATTCGTCCACGGGACTTGTTGGACGGTCAGTCTCTAGCAGTGGTAGTGGGCTTCGTACCCGGGTTGGGTGTTGCACATGTAGATAGCAACAGATGCTTCTCTCTGGCCGTCATGGGCTCGGGTAATGGCAGCCGACACTGGTCGACGGGTCAAGGCAAAGAGCCAATCGCAAAGGAAAGTGAAAGAAAAAGAGGGCGAATTCAGGGCGTCGGACATTATATAGTGGTCTGCCGAGGGTACTACATAACTTCTACGTGGGTAATGATTGGGCCCTCATTTACACGTATGAAATTCCAAAACACATTCCATAGTAAAATGTGAGGTCGACAAAATTAAAAACAAACAACATGTATGCATTTAAATTAAAAATATAAAATGGTGACAATATACACATCGCATCCTGTATATATATATATATATATATATATATATATATATATATATATATAAACACACAGAGACTTCTATACCTTCAAATACAAGCATGTAAATATAATTTAAATGCAAATATACGTATCTAATATATAATTTCAAATATAATACAAATGTACATACAAATAACAAGGCATCTACACATATACAAATATAGTATATACATTCACATTTAGAGTGATAAACAAAGGCGTGCATACAAATATTTATTTATAATGAATACCTTCATATCCTGTTCGCTTTTTGTATCCATACAAAAATGTAAATAAATGCACCAAATTATATATATATATATATATATATATATATATATATATATATATAATTTGTTATATTGATGTGGGAAATGTGTTAATGGAAGTTGATGAACTTTAAACAGAATATAAATTCAAATATGAGTGAAGATACGGATCGACATCTTTTATGTGCCGCGCTGTGACTCGACAGAACGTGGCCCTCCCCAACTTCTTATATCTTGCAGCTCTAACGAACATTAAACATCTTGTCCCTGTTCTGCGACCCTTTGACACAAACTCATTAGGTTACGACGAGATAATAACAGAGAGATGTCTGCTTTGTAACTTCGGCCATAGCTTAGCGAAAAGAAATGAATGATAGCGTTAAGAACGACATTTTTTTTTATAGTTTCAAAGAAAGTAAGACGATAATACCACGAAGAGGTTTACTGGTTACTTGGAAACACGATCCTAAACAAGAAAATGGGATAAAGTTTTGCTACTGTTTAATAGACAAAGAAGAAGAGTGAACCGGGCAGTAGGCAAATCTATTCCGCGAAAGTGAACGAAATAATCTCCGGGCTTAATTTGAAATCATTGCTTGATTGATTTGTGTTTTTAACCTAAATCTAACACTAACCCTAACCTTAACTCTAAGTCTAACCCTAACTCTAAACCTAACCTAAACTCTAACCCTAACCCTAAATCTAACGCTAACCCTAACCCTAACTTTAACCCTAACCTTAACTCTAAACCTAACCCTAACTCTAAACCTATCCCTAACTTTAACCCTAACCTTCACTCTAAACCTAACCCTAACTCTAATATATATGAGACGAGTTTTGATCAAATCTTGAGACATACACGCTTATTAAGTTCTGGCTCAATTCCGTTGTTTAGAGAAGTGCTTGGAATTAAATTAAATTGTTATCGTCTAACGACACCACGGAGATTCTATTGATGACCATATCTTGTGCAGCGGGTTTGGACCCGGAACAACATTCTTCAAGTCCAACAACCACCATATTCCCCCGATCTCGCCCCTTGCGTTTTAAACCTACTAAAAAAAATCAAATCTGTAAAAGAAAAAGAATTCAAAGCGACCCCCAAAAATGTGCCAAGGTAGCTACCCCCACCCAAAAAAAAATAAATAAATGAATAAGGCTTCGAGGAAAGCTTCCATCAATGGGAACGTCGCTGGAAAAACTGTGTCGCTTCAGAAGGCGACTATTTCGAAGGGGATTAAATGCCGAATCGATATGTGCGGTAGTTTTCTTTTTATAGCACCAGTCCATTTACCTCCAAACACACACACACACACACACACACACACACACACACATATATATATATATATATATATATATATATATATCATACAATCGGAATTAAGATGTCATTAGGTAAATGATCATTTTCACCTTGTAAAATTAAATTTACAGGATTTTTTCAAACCGTCAATGGATGATAAAATTTTTGAAATAGACTTTACAAGGTGAAAATGATCATTTACATAATGGTATCTTAATTCCGATAGGGGGAAATATATGAAATCATTGAACTCTATGTGTGTATCAGTTTTAATTGCAGCACTTGAACTTGACAGCCAGACACCAGCACATATGAAATCATATGTGCTGGTGTCTCTGTCGGTTCCTAGGAACTGAGCTGTTTGACCCTCATACGGAGAAATCGATGGGTGAATTCACCCATGTATATATATATACATACATACACACACACACACACACACACACACACACACACACACATATATATATATATATATATATATATATATATATATATATATATATATGATCTCCGTCGATATCGACGTATGAGAATCTGACAAGCTTATACAGTGTTTGTGTCGTACGTGGCACTTCCTTCTGGCGAGTGACTTTAATACAAGTTCACATATTGTGCAGAAGCATATATATATATATATATATATGTTAAGAAATGGACAAGGTCCGACAATTTATTTATTAAAGACATTTTTTTTTTTATGTTTATGTTTGTATCTATAAATAACAACGTTAAACATAAAAAAAATGTCTTTAATAAATATATATATATATATATATATATATATATATATTTTGTTTTTTATTTTATTTTTTGTCTCTTTCCGATCATTCTTAGTCCTTCGTTGTTCCTCTCATACTCTGTTTTGTTTATATTTTCCTTCAAAAATGTCTCTTTCTTTCTACTTTTTCGACTATTTTCTTCCTTTTCTCCTCCTTCTTCTTTTACTTTTTCCTCCTCTTCTTCTACATTTTCCTTTCTTCGTCGTCATCATCGGTATCACCTTCTTCTTCTTCTTCTTCTTCTTCCCATTTTTCCATTTCGTTCTCTACCACTCCTCATCATCTTAACCTCTTTCCTTTCCATCTTGTTGCTTTCCTTCTCTTTTCTTCATATTCCCCTTCATTTTCTTTTGCATTTTATTTAATACCTTGTTCAAAATTTCTCTACATTTTTTTCTGTCTCCTAGTTGTCCCCCTTTCCATCGTTACGTTATTACTCTTCTTCTTTTTTAATCCCCCTCCTCCTTTTCTCCCCATCTTTTCCATCTTCTCCCCCTCTTCTACCGCCTTTCTCCGTTATATAAACCAACGTCTGCTCATAGCCCACCCCAGTACAAATCCATCGCTGTCTGATTTCCACGACACTGATTTCTTAATCACTGTCATGTTTAATGCTACCCTCCCGATTCAGCTTTCTTCCTTTCATCAGAAAGCCGCTAAAAACAAGAAAACCAACAAAGGAACCCAGTAAATAAATACATAAATAAATAAAAGAAATACTTACCCGATGGAGGTTTACATTTGTTTCACAGTAGGGAGGATTTAAAGGCAAGACACAAAAGTAGAAAGTCATTACGCACAAATGAAAGGGGCGTTGCTTAGCGACAGGTGTTTCAATTAGATATTAATGATTGTCGTCCATATTCAGTAGCATTAGTCAAACTTTATACACAAAGCTATTAGATAGTTACACTAGTGTGTATCGGTCTTAAACTGGTCATATCAAACTCGGCATTTGGTGTCCACCGTACTACACGACTATGCACACAAACGAGCATAGACACAAGTATATATACAGATACACACACACACAAACACACACACACACACACACACATATATATATATATATATATATATATATATATATATAGAGAGAGAGAGAGAGAGAGACCTGAATATACGAGAAATCTTGTTAGAAAACGTTTTCTCTAATATTCAGGATGGGAGATAATTGAATAAATACACTTATATATATATATATATATATATATATATATATATATATATATATATATATAATATAAAAAGAAATATGTTGTAGAGGTTCCAACGAGAGAAAAGTATGTATATTAAAAAAAGAAAAGAGAGGTGCCGCAAACGTTTTTTGGTTGTAATGTGGATTTATTTAGAAAAATATTATGCTTTGTTTTTACATAATTTTACGACACGGGTTTCTGGTTTCATGACCGTCTTCAGGTAAAAGTAGAGATTTCCACATATTATTAAAAAAAATAATTAATTTTTCCTTGTGTTCAACGTTAAATATTCTCGATATGAGACATTTTCTGTTTGTGTGTTGGTAATCGAATTTCTTTCTTGAATTGGATGTAATATATCAATATATATATATATATATATATATATATATATATATATATATACATACATATACATATATATATATATATATATATATATATATATATATATATATATATATATATATATATGTGTGTGTGTATTTAGGCATTTTTCACTGATGCAGATTTCATTAAATAATATAGACAAGTTTTATCTATTTGTTTTATGTAAATTCCTTTCGTACCGTGTGATAAGCTTAATAACATTATCATTGAAAGAGGAAAGAAAATCACCATATTGAAACATATTTTTTAATCCTATCTAAGATTTCGGCTTACATAAGCCATCATCAAAGATGACAATTACATTAAAATATATTAAAAATACACGGACATAACAATAATGATAGTCTGTTTTTGTTTGCATGGAAAATTTCCAGGCAACGACAAATTTCGTGCATACGAGACGCTGGAAGCGAAAATCGCACCGCGGCTCATGTCAACACATATGACCATGCGGAAAAGAAAACGAGAACTATTAAGTATGGAAACCCGCTGGTATAAACCAATGGCTTCTGTTATCAATTATATGTATTGATGTATATCTGTGAAGGTTTCATAGTTTATTTTGTTTAGGTTAGGTTTCAACTGTTTTATGTATATAGCTGCAAGGATTTTTAGTTTTTGTTTATTGTTTTCATGTTTAAGTATAGTTGTGTTTTCAACAAGGATTTTCCGGAATTGTGTATGCAGCCAGGCATGTCAAATGTAGAGTCAAGCGTCGTTAAATATGTTTGTGCGTATATATATATATATATATATATATATAGTCAAACCTAGTGAGCCAGACAAAACTACCAGGTTTCACCTAAGCCGTTCGTCAGGGGAACATACGAGAAATCTTGTTAGAAAAAGTTTTCTCTAATATATTC